AACATGCAGATTGTAGGGATTAATGAGTGGGGCTACATAAGCCACTGTTGCCGCGTATCCCTCTCTCTCACTCTCTCTCTCTCTCGTAACGACCGAACTAAGGTAGACTGTCTGCCAAACACAAAATACGAGTGTAGACAGGAAGCTCCAAAAAGGCAAGTAATTGTTGACGAACAGAAGAATTTAAAAGCAGCAAGGGTAGGGATGAAACAAAAAATTACCAAACAAACGCAGACAGGAAGTAGTGGGCTTTCACAATCGCTAGACCACCTTTATCGACGTCCTCGCAGCTGGATCCCCACTCCGAGCAGAGGTCCAGGGCCCTAGAAAAAGGAAATTATAAGTGACCGCCTTTAGTATTTTGCAGCAAACAACATCAGGTTTAAAGAGAGATGTACGAAAGGTGTGCCTGGAAAAACAATACAGTAAGGGCTAGATTCCTGAGCGCGGATCTAATCTGTGGTTATAAAACATTGCAGTAAGCCTTTCCCCCTTAGAAGTCAACTAACAGGTGGAAACAGGAAATATCTCGAAAAAGCAAACGTGCGAGAATAAGGTTGTTTGCAATCGATGGATATTTATGCATAAGCGTAAACACCGGACGAAAATGCGAGGCGCTTCAAGGCAGGAAAACGTTTGAGCGACAAACCTGCCTGGTACGGATACGGCAACTGCCAGTAACTCGCACGCCAAACAACTGGTAGCAATAAGTAAACATTTTGTGCCTCTTTTTTTCTGCCTATCTCTTTCGCAGACGTAGCAAATGAGAGGAAGGTATGCGACGCCGTAGATGACAACGAACGGTGATGCGCAACGCGCTATCCAGTCCGGAACAGTAAAATAGGTTCGGATGAGGGCTACAGTCATGCAATTTTAGTCCCAAATCCAGCTAAAGCCGTTCTCCCCGCAGGCGAGAACCTCACTGACTTTCAGGTACTGCCAGCTGAATAATTACTTAAAACTACCTGAACGAATTAAGTTGCAAAATGTATGCTTGCCAGGCAGAGTTTCTTACCAACGCAGAACTGAAGTCATACATGACCCTGCACAAATAGTCTTTGAAGAAAGTTGAAAAAATGTACATGACACAAAGACAGTCAAAATTCCTCTGTATAGCAAATTAAACATTCGCTGATTAAAAAGGTCGAACCTACCGCTTAAAGCAGAAGTTTGCAGGTTGTGCAAGGCCAGTAAGTTGTAGGAGCAGACCCCGATCATGCCAAAGTCGGTAATCATAGGGATAGAAGGCTGAAAACGAACAAAGACGGTGCAATAAAGCATTCTGTTGTGGCGAATCAAGAAGCTATTAATGGTGATAGCAAGTGGCGCATGTAATGTGGGTAACAGCTAGCTGTAGTTTATTTATTTATTGGTTACAAGTTTACAGGCAAGGTCAAAAGGGATTTACAGTAGAGGATCGAACTGACAATGAAAGAAAAAACTCCTGATCATTCTGTCTAATGTTTTTTTGGGAGAAGAAACTGCATCTCGTTGAATTATTGAAGTTTGGGGCGGAGAAGTTACTACGAGACTACAAAATCGGTAACTTGAGCAACTCTCGCATGCAGTGTAGTTAATTGAAACTGTAAAGAAGAGGATGACGCGATCTCTGACAATAGTTGTATTCTGAGCTTTCGGCTCCACACGAGAAGCCATCGTCAGAGCAAGTGAGGACAGCAAACGTCAGCTACGCATAAATTCGGTTGGTAAGGCAGGGGGGGGGTAGCGGCAATTATTGATTTGTCTCTGACCATGCTACGTCCGTTCTCACGTTATCGTGTCTCCGACGCGCGCCCCTGGAGTAACGGCGTGTGACCTTGAGGT